GAGAGATGGGGGTGGTTGATTCTCAGCTATTGGTAGGAATATGGTTTTTGAATACTACTTAACAAATCCCAGGGTACCTGAAGGTGTTGGCAGAGGGCAGTAGGGTCAGCTCAATGAGCTCGTGAAGGTAGTGAGCTGCCAGGAGGGGTTCCGCCTCCCAACCCATCCATAAGTTCCAAAAATAAGAGCAGAAACTATTTTTGGTCTATACCCCCAACCCATAGCCCAATGACTGGCCCATACATAGCACACTTAAGTATCTGTTGAATGAAAGGCTGCTGGGCATTTTGGAGGTCTATCTGTGGATAAGGGTGGAGTGCTGGAAGCCACGTGATTATTACAAGGTCTATTACTAGGAGGGCCCATAGAGAATAGCTAGATGGCTGATCTTCCCCCCCACCCCATGTTACACATGAAGACTGTGAGGCCGAGAACGGGACTCACCTGAGATCTTCCTAAGTTGGCTGTAGGCTTCAGAGCCAGACTGCAGACCAGCGGTTCTCATTCCACCTCTTCCACCTTTCACCAAACCACAGTGCCCAGGAGTCTGGGCAGGTTAAGTGGTTTGACCCCACCAGAGAGACTGCAGTTCAGAAGAAGGATTCTAGTTCCTCAGAAGACTGGCAAGGGCAAGGCCTGGGCTTCTGTCCTGAAGGAAGGGAGTCGGCGCCTTATGCATTGGGGGCTCTGAGCACTAGGATAAAGAGCTGAGTTTCTGGAAACAGGGGCAGCTAGCAGGCTCTTTTCTAGTTAATCGAGAGAACACCTCTGAGCTATGAATAAGACTTGAGCTATGAATGAGAATGAAGACACCTTATTCTCTGCCTGGAGCCTGCATTTATCCGGTTAGCCTGGGATGCTCAGGTGGCAGCTGGGGTGGGGGTGGGGGACGGGGGACGGGGGAGCATTGTGTAACCTAGGGAGGCAGGTCATCAATTAGCAAGGTGTTTACCACTGCAAAGTAGCAGCTTCCCGGAAGCCCCCACTCCCCACAGAATTCCCAGTGGTAGGCCCTCAAAGACCATTATTTCTGTTTGATGCCCATGGCTGAGGCCCCCTTTTCCCCCTCCCACCCAAACACTCGGGGCCCTCATTGAACCCCCAAATCCAGCCTGACATTTTTAAGTACCACTATTCGCAAACCCCTATGCTTGGAGCTGGAACCCCTAAACCCAAAAGTACAAGATGGGCATGGGGAGGGGTGGAGGGAGTGGGCAACACAGACAAATTTAAAAAAATAATAATAAAAGAAGAGCACTTACGACTTGGACATCGGGAAAGGCTTCAGTAGGAGGTGTGAGCCATGTAGGATTCAGGTGAAAGTGGAGTATAGGAGGAGTCCATTCCTGCCAGGCATGCATGAGGGATAACATGTGCGGAAAGCCCAGAAATGGGCTATGAAATGTTGCTGTAGGGCAGGGGTTCTTCACCTTTTGTGTGGGGTGGGCCTCTTTGATAATCTAGTTAAGCCTTGGGTCCATTTTCAGAATAATGTTTTTAAATGCATAAAATAAAATACAGAGTATTACAAAGGCAACCATTGGTATTGTAATATTGTCGCCAACACATTTAACAGTTTTAACATTTTAAAAGTTGATGATGGCCCCTAGGTTAAGAACTCCTGGTGGAGGGAGGGGGGAGGTGAAGAGAGATGCAGAGCTCAAATTAACTTGAGCAGCTTTAAAAGGTCTGGGATCTGGTTTGGGCCTGTTGATTATAGAAGGGTTTGCATATGCCCAATTGACTCATTCTAAATTTGGTATTGAACAATTTGGGATTAATTGGTGGTTTGGGGCTGTTATGGGACTAATTTATGTGGTCAGAGCCACCCCTTTGTGCTGTGCTAGGCTTCATCACAGGCTTTGTCTATTTTGCCTTTCCCCCCTTTTCAGATGGATCCGGTTATGAACCTGCCCCCCCACACACACATATACACCCTCACCCCTCTTTGGGTGCCTTAAAGCAGAACCATGTAATAATTAATTATATGTGTTCTGATCCACACCTCCTAAAGAGAAGAGTTCCTGGACCCCACAGTCCCCAGCCCTAGCCTTGGAAAGACAATGGGGTAACTTCTAAGCTCAAAAGATGGCACCCATGCAGCTGGAAGCCATATGCAATCTCGGGTTACACAAAGAGTCTCAGTGCCCAGGACTTGGGAAGTGGGAATACCAATGGCCTCTATCCAGGGCCAGCTTACCCTACCCCTGAAATGTGGTTAGTTCTGGGCTCCACAGCCTAGGAAAGACTCTGATGATGAACTGGAGTGTGTCCAGACATAAGCAGTCAGGCTGGTGAGGAGTCTTAAACTTATGCCATATGTGGACTGGTTAGAGGAGATGGGGACAGGGAACTTGGAGAAGCCTTAGGGGGATCTGAGTGTCATACCATAGGGAAAGGGGAATGGGCTGCCCCAGGCCCCAGGGGGTTCCTTTCATCAGGAGCTGAGTTTGATAGGAGATTCTATTTTTGGTGTGGCTTGGACAAGACAGTGACCCTTCTAGCTCTGAGTCTCTGAGGCATGCTCTGGGTGGTGGGGGCTCCTAAGGGTTCCAAAGGACAGCCCTGCTTACCCAAATTCAAGAGTTTGGGGAGTCCTCATTCAGAAAAGAGAAGAGGAATTTTTGGTAGGGCTCACCTCTTGGAGAGAGGTGGGGACCACTTTGGTGGCTCCTAGAGCTGGGAGAAGTAGCAAGGGCACAAAGCCATGGAATTGACTAGCAAAATACTGGTCTTGGCCCTCCTGGAGTATCATGAATTATTTAGAAAATGCAGGTCCGATGGACAAGGGGTTGCCTCTGCAGTAACTCCGGGTGATTTCTTTCTGGGAGATGTCTAAACCCTTAAGATAGTACTGGAAGGCTGAATCCCTGTGCAGGGGTATGCAGGGAAATGTTTGATTAACAACCAGCTCTCCAAGAAAAAAAAAAAAGTACTCACAGCACACTTTAAAATTTAATCTGTGATATTAAGATTTTGTCCGTCACTTTGTTAATTAAGTCCAGATGATCAACAAAACAGTAAACCAAGTTCTGATTTGTAACGTTTGCCAATTTCTGAGATGTAAATAATGTTCATACTGAAAATGTCATAATCGCTTTAGGTCTGAGCTGGCTAGACCACACCCCTGTGCCTGTGTGGGTTCCTAGGTGAAGTGGCAGGAAGGTGATAATGGAACTCACCACAGTGTTGGAAAAATGCTTTTCTAGTGACTTCCAGAGGAGTCCAAGCCCTCAGGGTAGTACCATTTGGCTGGAGACCTGTATTCATCTCTGGAGCAAAAGCAGGATTCACCAGAATGCCAGGGGGTTGCCCCACTGGCAGCTGCTAGTTTGTTTCCCCCTTCCCCCAAGGGGAACCCAAAGACACAGAGTAATTATCCTATTAAGACTGGGCGTGCCTCTGAATCTACCCCATAAGAATGAGAAGAAGGAATGGGGGTGAGGGAGAGGTTGTATTGATTATGTGCCACTCTGGGTCCCTTATGTCCTGGGTCTTTTCTACATGTTCTATGGGGTGAAATAAAGGCTGTCCTACACATTGTGAGCTTGAGTGGTAACAGAATCTGGGCGCCCTTTTTACCCACATCTGTGGAGACCTGGGACAAGTTTTATTCAAGCTACCTTCTGAGATGGGGCAAAGCAAGTGAGAGAGATTCTCTGGAGGCTGCGCCCTGAAACTGAATTCAGTCTGTCTAAACCCAAGGTTTGGGGCACAGGACCCTGAGCTATATTGACTAGGAGGAACAGTGTGTAGAAAGGGGAGTTTAGATATTATAACAGAGGCAGTTGGGACCCACTAAAGCCTTTTGAGCAGGGGAAGTGGCCTGAGTAGATATGTGCTTTAGGAAGACTGTTGTAGCAGCTGTTGGAGGAGGATGGACAGTGTCCCCTGGCTCTGTGGGGCTTTTCCTGGATAATATTTACCATCCCAGCTCTGACAATCACTGACTGTGTAAGCTTGGGCAAGTTAGTGGTGTTAGTTACTTAGTAAGTTAATAGTGACTCAGACATGTTGAGGGCAGCCTCTGCCACTGACAGAATTGGGGTCTGGGTTCCCTGTCAACCATTTTTGCCCCATCCTTCCCAGATTCTTCCCAGATTCTGAGGTCTCATCCGTAAGATAAGGGGATTGAATGAAATCAGGGGTTCTTAACCTGGAGTCTGTGAACTTTTTAAAAAATATATTTTCAATAGAATTGGTTTCTTTTGTAATCCTATGCATCTTATTTTATGCACTTAAAACCAAAACATTTTGAGGAAGGGTCCATAGGCTTCAACAGACTGCCAGAGGGGTCTGTGACACAGAAAAGATGAAGAACTCCAAGACTAGATTGTCCCTAAAGTCCCTCCTAGCTCTGTGAACTTGTTGGCCTACCCACCCTCAGCCGCCACACTCCAGATGCTTTCTTTCCCTACCCCGCAAGAGTCCTGGCCAGGCTTCCATTCCCACAGGGGCCTGCAAGGTCTAGCTAATCTGAGAAATAAATTGATGCTAAGGTTTTGATGGCCAATTTCGTCCCAAAATAGAATGGTGTGCTATGGGAGGTAGTGAATTTCCCCCTCTCTGTGGGTGTTCAAGCAAAAGCTAGAGGCCCACCGGTTGGCTGATACGGCAGAGGGATTCGCTCTACGGTACAGCTTTTGATATTCCTGCCAACCCTGCCTTGGGTGCCAAATGTCATTTCACCTCTCCTAACCTCAATTTCTTTAGATGTAAAATGACCATGAGAACACATTCCCTGTCTACTCCATAGGCTTTACTAGTAGGAAAGCACTTTGTAAACCCTAAGGCTCCAGAGAAATGAGAGCTTTGATAAGGAGTCAATGAATGAATAGTTCTGAGAGAGCCATTTTTCCTCCTGCTAGTCTCTGACTCTGACTCCCTAACAGGTCAGTCAGAATCCTCCCTTGCCCTCCCCACCCCACCCCCAAGTATCCCAAGTGTTTCAAGGAAGTCAATCACACCTTTTTGTTTTTTGTTTTTTCTAATGCCACGAAAATACGTTTTATTGTTACATTAAACACACACTTTTTAAGGCAGTTAGATAATTAAAATCCAGTGCTTTAAGGCATGATTTCATATAATAAATCCAACTCTAATAGAATTCTTTTAAATAAATTTAAATTTTTATTCTTCTGACTTTTACGAAAGTATCACTATCTAGGTTTTAATATGGTGCTGATCTCTCAATCCTGTCCACTGATCATCTCAACTATTCAAAATTCTTGCCATTCAAGTGTCCCAGGGACAGCAAAGTGAGTGGCAGAGCTGAGAAAGGAGGTCAGAGTGGGGACCCCAGCAGCTAAGAAAGCCATTAGGAAACACTAAGATTAGCACCCCACCTCCTCACAGCCCGGAGAGGGGCTGGAGTCCAAAGTGGTATGGGCTAGGGGCTTCTCTTGGGTGATTCTCCCGGCTAGCAGGGCGACACCGCCCACCACCAAGTTTTTGTGCACTCCGGTCCTGATTCTCTCATGCTCTTCCACTGTGTCACATGGATCCACGGCTCCTTCTCTTACTGGCTGGTCAGCTTCATTGGGACAATCATCTCCATTTTGTTTCCTTTATCTTCTTTGTACCCTCCTCAGGCTCAGGTGGAGGAGGCATTTGGAGATAGGGTTCATTTGAATCGACTCCAATGTGGGTGGTTCGTATAGAATTGTGATTAATCCTTAATTATTAAAGTGCCATCTTCCTTTGGGAAAATCCACAGGAGTATAGAGAGAAGATAGGAGTGAATTTGCTACATTTGTCCAAGTGAGAGCCATTGGATGGAGGAGGGTGTGGATTTGGGGTTGTGGCCTAAGTGAGTGAAAGATTTGGGGTAGTAGCCCTAAGTGAGACTGAATCCTGACCAACTCTATGAGAAGAGGCATGATCCCAGTGCCATAGCTATAGGGGAGAGTCTCTTAGCAACTGAGATGGCCTTGATTTTCCCCGAAAAAAGAAAGCAACCATACAGAGCTACATAACCACAAAGAGAAATGAACAGGTCTGATGAGTGTTCATGGTGGTTGTTCATTAGAATGCTTGTTGAATGAAAGAAATGAATTTGACCACTAAGAAAACAGTGGGCCACAACTAGATTTTTTTTTTCCAGTGTGAGTTTGAGTTGAAGATTTGCTCAAAAGAGAGAGATTAGAATTCATCATATAGGCATTCTAGTAATAAATAAAGGAAAGATATGTCCTTTCCACATTAATACTTCTTAAGCAATAAATAATAGATAAATAGATGTGTGTGAGAATCTGTTCCTTAAATACCTCTTAAGCAATAAATAATAATAGGTATGTCTATTTTGTGAAGAAAGGAGGTTATGCTCCAATTTTTTGGCTGATTGCCTTGAGCTGGGACTATGAAAAATGCCAGTTGGGCAGCTCTCGGGCTGAATCCCAAGTACAGATCTGTATCTGAGCCTCTGAGCCCTGCCTACAATGCTGCTGTCCAACCTACTTCCCCTGCAGCACCTAATATGCTCGGCCTTCATTTGAAAAATCACTTCATTTCTGTGAACTAAACTTCCCTGGTTTTCTTTCTACCCCTCTGACCACTCCTAGTTCGAATTGGTCAGCCCATCCGGGTCATCAGACAGATGGGTTTTCTGCCTGAGAACTCATCAGTCACCCCCAAAGTGGCCTTCTACTCCTTCCCCCTTCCCTCCATCTCTTAGCCCCTTCTTCCTCTGCCCTATTCCCCTCCAAACAAGGCCACTGACAGCAATCTTTTCTTTGTCCATTTTATTCCACATGCCTCAATAGTATTTTTTACCATTTTGTCGAGAGTGTGGTAAAAGTCTCGACATGGACAAGATGGATGAGAATAGGCTCTGTTTGTCTCTCTTAATATCTTCCCGTGGCAGAAGCTGAGAGGGATGCTTCCAACATGGACTGGCCACTACCCAGTGGAGCATCCCTGAAATTAGGCTTCTACTCCAAACCTCTTTCTGAAATTTGATGATCTCATTTGTTCTATTTTTATGCCCGGTCTGGGAAAGGAAAGATGGACGGGGCCCTTTGTGGTTGCAAGATTCAATTACAAATGTATAGCAGACTCTGCTTGGGATCGTCCTCTACCTTAACTTTCCCGGAAAACCGAGCCCCTCCCCAACCCTGAAAGCCAGCACTTGCTCAGAGATTCTCTAGATAGAACATTGCCCCACCTGGGGGGGAATGAACACTTGTGACATTTGGAGAACAGCAGCAGTGTCCTGTCTGCCCTTGGGAATCTTGCCTGATGGCCTGGGCTCGGGGGAAGTGTTCCAGACCCCTCAGGGCACCATTCAACTGACTGCCCTGTACTAAGAATTAAGTCAGAGGTGAGCTTCCCAATTGAATTTAGTAGACATCAGAGTAACATTTTGCAGCTGAAATTTAGGAAAGATGCCATTCATTTAAAGTACTGGATTATCTCACCGGCTTCCGTGACTGCCATTTGAAGCACAGGTGGGCCTGCTTAAATATGTGTAAATTCACGCTCACAAAAACAGATTACTATGTTGTCATATTCATGCGACCAAAAGATACTTCATTTACAGAAGGCTTCACCACAAGCTTCTCTTATGAGCTCCCCCAAGTACATCAATTGGTTATCTAGACAGATAACTAGTCACTTAGCAAAGAGGCTGGGGGAGCAAAGATCACAAGAGGGAAAGAGAAAACTAGTGTGGGGAACCATTGACAAATGAAGATCAATCGGAAAGAAAGCTGAAGTAGCTTGGAAATTAGAATGGCAAACACTGGGGAACTTGAGTTCCCTAAATTTGTATTATGTATTTTTAAAGATATGCTACTATTACGCAAAGTATAAGGTACATTTGCACAATGAGCTAAAACACACTCACTAATTTGTACTTCTAAGCCTTCTGGTGTGATGTGTATAGTGTATAGGTTTGTGTCAAGTATATGTGTGCATGCATGTGCATATAGGGGGGTGTATGTGTGTATGCATGTGCATATACGGGGTGCATGTGTGTATGCATGTGTGCAGACTGTGTGTTGGAGCAGAGAGAAGTACGGTGCGTCAAGCAATTTAAGCGTATAGTATGCGGAGCAAACTTAGAACTGGGACCTGTCACTTGGCCATCACTAAGGACACTCAGCGAGACTTTGTCTTCACAGGTAGGTGTCGCCTTGAATGCGCCTGGCCCCAGCATAAGTCGGCTTGCGTCTCATCCTCATCTCACGGATTTGCTCCTGCAGGTCAACAACGAAGTAGTAGGCCGTGTCCTTGGTGTTGTGGACGATGCGCTGGTACTCCTTGCGGAAGTTCTGGTTGAGAGTTCCGTAGACCATGGCGTTCACGCAGCTGTTGAAGTAGGCCAAGTAGTAGCTTCCAATGTATACCCACTCTGGGACGCGTGGTCCAATCCCCAAAGGATCGAAGACCCGGGCAAGCTTCAAGAAATTCAGTGGGCCCCAGCACAGAGCAAACAGGATGAAGACCAGAAACATCGTCATGAAGTTGCGGACATCAACCAGCATGAACTTCGGCTTGGTGACCTTGACCCGATGATTGACTTGAATGACCAGGATCCAGATCCTTAGGTAACAGAATGCCACTACCGTCAGGGGGATGAGGAAGTGGAGGGCCATCACTCCAACGGCGTAGAAGGCACTAGAAGTGTGGACAAAGCTGCAAGTGTAGACTGTGGGATTATACTGCACGGTGGCCACAAAATAGTTGGGGATGAGAGCCAACATGGTCATCAGCCAGGTTATGATAAGGATGAGGATGGTGTTCCTTCCAGTGAAGATCTTCTCATATAGGAGGCTATGGCAGATGTAGCAGTAGCGGTTGAGGGCTATCACCATGATGTTAAAGACGGAGCTAACAGCGCTAATGCTTGTAAGGAGGCCGCTCAGTTGACAGTGGAGTTTTCCCATGGTCCAGCCATTGTTCAAGATGGCAATCAAGGTCATAGGGTAAGGATACACAGCAACAAGCATGTCGGCCACAGATAAACTGATTACAAAGACGTTCCCTGGAAAAGAAGGGTAGGAAAAAAAGAAACAGAAGGAAAAAAAGAGAAGAAGGAAGAAAAAGGATCAACTGCAGAACATTCAAATCTCATTGAGTTAGTCTAATTAACAGAAAAGGTCAGTTGGAATTAGACAAGACCTGAAGGATATTGAGAGGAAAAATTGAAAGCAATGAAATTCAGAGTGGACAGGACTGTGGAGAAACAGAGACACTTGTTCATAGCTAATGGAATTGCAAACGTGAGAGCAAATCTGGCAGCATATAGTACTAGGACCCTCAAAATCCATACTCTGGTGCCCAACCCTCCAGTGATGAGCTTCTGAAGTCTTATATTTAGTTAGGCTTGTCCTCAGGGCACAGATACCCAATCCCAAGCAGGAGCTGATCCTATCCTCAAAGCTTTTCCACTTTGGTGGACCTGCCAGCATTTATGCTCTGTGGGCCTGGTATACATTGTCACATATCCTGTACACCTCACTCTCTCCCACCACTACTTCCCCTCCCCCAACGTGAGGCGGGCAAGCATCGCACTTTCCATAGATGACGGGGCTATGGGCCCTATTTAGACCTCAAACGTGTGCTCAATGTACCCACAGCTGTGCTCCAAAAAAAAAAATGCAAAAGGGTTCCAACTGTTTGAGTTCAAATTGTGTCCCCGTTTTCAGAAAGCTGAAGTGGAGTGCTCTGAGCAGCTTGAGGGAAATGAGCCCTTGAGGAGAGGGAGGGCTAAGGAGAATGAAGGGTGCTAAAGACAAAACTTGTCCCTTCCCAAGGCCCTGGTAACATGGCTCCATTTCCATCCCAGACATCCCACAGTTCAGAATTTTCCCCATTTCAAATACAGATTAACATTGCCCAGCTTTAAATAAGTGAGGTCTCCTTTGAAAATCAAGAATGCTCCATGCCACAGGGCTGGACTCCAGATCCAGAGCCAGGCGGCTTAATGAAATTCACAACCATGCAGTCTGAAGGATTGTGCTCTTCTCTGGACTATCATTAAGACAATGACAAAAATATAACTTGAGATAAATGGCTGCAAAAGAGAGCATTAGGGATGCCATTTTCTTAAAAAGCTTTTTTTATGGGATCAGATATAAATGGGGCGGAAGTATAGGAAAGAGGAAAAGACTATGGTAAAATGGCTTATGGGCTGTGGCACTCCTAAGCTACTTCCTTGGATGAAGGTAGACATTTAAAGAAGTCTATTAACTCTTTCAGGATACTAGGGGTCTTTGCTGCTCTTACTAAGGATGCTCGGAGCCAGAGACAGTAGGCCAGGAACACATACAAGTGTGTTCCTCACAGTGCTGTCCTCATTTCCCAAGGTATCAGCCTTCCCTCCATTTCTATGTGCTTAAATATGGTTATCTTCCCTTAGCTTGAGGGTAGGAGCATTTGAGAGGAAAGTGACAAAGCAGTTTTCCTTTGTTCAGAAATCAGAATTGTGGCTGGGGCCCCCAATCCTTTTGCCCAGCTGGGCAATTAAGTCCATTAACAAGGTCATGGTTAGACAACATACCAAAGTTGGCTCTGAGGCAGTGACATATCTTTACTTTGGCCTTCCCTAGTCTGGAGCAATGCCTGCAAGGTTAGCATAACCAGTTAAGTGAAGCTCGCATTCCAATAAGACATTTTGCTTTTGGCACATCCACTGAAGCAGTGCAGCCTAACTAATGAAGGCATGATTAAAGATCGGTTGATGTTGGTAATCGATCAAAGGCTACTGCTCAGTCTTTTGCATATTACCCTTTTCTGTGATTGGAAATAAATTCCCGGCACCCAGACTGCCACCAGAGCTCCATTGTATAAATCAAGATCACTAACTCTTGTTCTAAGAGTCACTCTTCTGAAGAGGATTTTAATCTACAGCAAGAGAGCAAAGTGCTTTAAGACTGATTTGGAAAAATTTGTAATTTGTCAGTAGTTTGCCCTCTTGTTTTGATGCCCTCATCAGCCTGAGTAGAAGCAGCAGTTATTTGGTTACATGTCCTCTGCTTCGGGGTTTGAAAAAGTGACATTTGATTTAGAAACACTCAGTCTTGATGCTCTGAATTTCTTACTATAGTCTTTCTACTTCTACAAGCACCTCTTTCCATTTCCCAGGAAACATCATAAGCAGAGACCTTGATTCTGTCTCAATCTTAGATTGCCTAAGCTACAGATACATAGACTCATAGGATGTCAGAGCTGGTTGGGACTCGAGGGATCAGTTAGTCCAACCCCTGAATTTTACAGAAAGGGGGACTGAGGCTCAGGAAGGCTGATTTGCCTAATAGGTAATCGAGGAGTGACAGAGGTGGCATCTGGCCATTCTTTTTTTAGTTTGGGGCGCAGCATAGAGCAATGGTTCTATGGATTAAAGGGAGGTGGAGGCCAAAAAGAAAATATAAAAGGATATGGAGATACTGTGAAAATGAAGAAATAGTTCTTTGGGGGGAAAAGAGGACAGAGCCCTTTAGGATGGAGGTAGGAGGGGAGAAAACTTGTGAAATGTAGTCCCAGAAGAAAAATTAATTTAGTCGGAGACAAAAGAAATATTTAGCAGAAAAAAAATATCAGGACTTTGCTCCTGGAAGCCATTAATATTAGCATCTAGTTTATCATTTGCCTGTGAACAGAGTCCAGTCTAGCGGAGCATGCTCCAGATTATCTGTTGACTAAGTCTTGATGGATTTATGGCAGCCTCTTTCGATTTTGGAGCCTACTCAGTCTTCCACATTCAGCTAAATTCTCCCGGTTTTGGCCATGGTCCTTGCTTTGGGTTGACTCCAAGCACTCTGGCTACCTGATCCCAATGAATACCCCAGGGGGGGCTGCAAGCAAACCTGTCTTAGCATGGCCAAAGCTCCTCAGGTAAGCTAGCACTTAAAAAAACAAAACGATTTCAAAGAATATAAAGACAAGGGAACTAATTTTGTCCAGAAAAAAAAATGTTTTGTTTTGTTTTCTGGAAAAATCTTCCTGCTAACCAGGGCTTAACTTATGAAGTATTGTTTCATCCTTGAGAAAAAGGAAAATAGAAAATTTTTTAAATAGGTTTTAAAAGGGACTGGAGTTGAGGGCAGAGAGTCCAGGAAAACCCAGAAAGTGGTCTTCTTTGGGACTAGAGCCATAGGACAGAGGAATTTTAGAGGTGTCTAGTGTGAAACACACCCCCCTTCATTTTATGGAGAAAATAAGGGCCAAAGCTGGTTTTACAAAAGAGGAAACTGAGACCCAGGGAAGGGATGGGTCTTATCCAAGGTAACTAGTAGCAGATTCAGGATTAGAACCCATGATTCTAAACCTGCATCATGGTCATTTTTTCTACCATATCACATTCTGTGTCACACACACACACACACACACACACACACACACACACACACACACATACACATACACACACACACACTCACTCTCTCACACTCTCACTCTCACTCTTCTATTGCAATGAGGGATGAGGATGATAAAGTGGAAAATAACTATTTCAAAGCTGATAAAGCCTGGTTTTCTTTCTTTGAAGAATCTTATTGATTGGGCCAAGAAATAACATAGGACCCTGGCAATTGAGAAGGGAATTCTGGCTCTGATTTTGCCACCAACTGGCTGTGGGACCTTGGGCAAATTACTTTCCCTCTCTGGGTTTCAGTTTGATCCTCTGCAAAATGATGTGGGGATGGACTGACTGATGTCAAGGTGCTGGAAGCCTGGGAAAGGCAGGCTTTTGGCATCCCAGGGTGTGGAAGCCTTTCTCCCGTTACCTTCCTTAAGGGAACAACAAAGCCTAGACAGAGCAACCTTAGTGGCAGAGATTGTGGCCCCTAGATCCCTAGATGCCCCTTGCTAGAAGAAAGAAGACTGGCTGCCTAGGTCCCCCTAGTCATGTATCTGAGGGGCCTCAGGATAACTTCCTGTACTTCCCAGTAATGTCTCCCCCACCCCCAAAAAAGGGACCCATAAAAGCTCAGGAAAAATAATACCCATTTGTTTTGCATAAATTTACATAAACTGTATAATATTTATGCCTAATTACAACTTAGTAACAAGTAGGCAGATCATTAAATAAGTATATTAATTTTGCTGCATGTTCTTCTTCATTCAGACCCTTACTAAGCACTTGGGCTGGGCTATGGGGGACACAAACCTGAATGGGTCCCAGTCCTTGCCCTGAAGAAGCTCCCAGTTGGGGGGGGTGGCGAGGGAAGGTAGGATAGACAGCAAAATGGGTTTAGAAAGAGCAGACCCAGGTTTTAGCCCCAGCTCTACCACTAACTAGCTGTTCCCAGCAAGTCCCTTCCCCCTCTCTGGGCTTCATCTGCTCCCATCTGCAAAAAAGGGGGTTTGGGGGGTGCTGTGGGGGCAGTAGGTAGGGATGGAAGGTTGGATTAGGTGATGTCTGTTCCAGCTCTGACATTCTTTGAATTGACACATACACAAATAACCAGAAGGTGTATTTAATTACAAACATTCTCTACTTTGTCCTGGACATTCAGGCTTCATAATTTGTGACTTGCCCCTAGTGTGGCTGTCAGTTCACAGCTAAAAGAAATTCCAGGGGAAAAAGCTATGACCGTTTAATAGGGTAATTTCTAGTGTCGGAGCCATTTCTGCAAATATTCCCGTAAGATGGAGTTTGCTCATTTAAAGACCTTTGTTGGGGGGGGGGAAGCGATAGTTATGTTTGCTGGAATGGGAGGGAGGGGGGCAGGTAACACTGAGCTCTGTATTTGAAAATCAGTTTAAAAAAAAAAAGCAGTTCAAGTGTCATGGATGAGGAACCGTATGGCTTAATCTAACAACATCTCCGTTTCCATTTTCTCATAGTTTAATAGTGAAAAGGAAAAATAGGGAAAGATAATGAGGGTGAACAAAAGAATACCTAAAGACTTGGGCACAGTAAATGTCCAATAAATGTTTGTTGAATGAATGAATGCATTCATGAATGAATGCAACACTGTCTCACAGCAAAGAAGAGATCTCCATGGAGGAAGCAGCTTTGCAAACAGATCACTGGTCCCT